ACTCTGTCTTTACTACAAACTCAAAAAAAATTCAGCTCATCCCTGTACACTGATTGGTCAGAGGCAAGATTAGCAGAGAAAAACCAAACCTCAGTCTTTTTTAATTCCTACAACATAAGTGCAATAACATTATAATACAATCTAAGTAATACTTCAGACTTGGGTGAGAAGTAACAGTTGGTTACAAACAGCTTTGCTGTTCTATCAACTCTGAACTTTGTTCTGTTCCGCTTCAACGTCCTAACATTTTATTCAACTCATCAGATCAGGTCGTTTGTTTCTCTCTGAACACGTAAAGTCAGTCTGTTTCTGTTTCAGCAGCGTTGGACTTACGTGGGTCTCTCTGTGGCGTCGGGAGCTGGTTCCTCCTTTTCCTGCAGCATCATACGGAAACTGTTCACCTTCTCTTCGATCTCCTCCGCAGAATACCTGATAAAAATCAGATGCTGTCACGTCATGGTCACTTACAATCTGTGCACAACATACATATGCGAGGGTCCTGTGATCTGGCGGTCTCTGTTGCCAAAAGCATCTGCTCTGTCACCAGGACCTTTAATGATTCTTTTTCATACCCTTGCTCCTCCATCATGTCCTGCAGCTCGGCACACTTGACCTCCAGTTGCCTCTTGCGCTGGTGTTCCAGGATGTCAGCGTTGGGCTGCCTGTTGAGCTGGCTTTCCAGTCTCTCTCGGTCCTTTTCGTCACGCTCACCACCACGTTCATCCCGCGGTCGTTTGACACGCAGGGTGGACAGGTTGCGCTGAACGTAGCCATTGGTGCCGCTTCCCCGCGGTGTGGTCAAGCCGATCCCATTATACATGGCTCTGCGTAAACAAGGAAGTAACGCCACAAAAGACTGATGATTTCATGCCGACAGTTGATTCACTGTATAAAGGCTCACATGAAATTTTGTCTTGACCACTAGACACCACATAATTACATCATAATTGTAAAAGATGAATAAATAATTTCTATACATTAGTTCTAATTATATTCTTCAGATTTACTGGCCATAGCTTTATGGGGTTTTTTTTCTATAAATGTATCACTAAAACTTAATTGCTTTTGCGTTTACAAATGGTAAATATGTTTTAGCCTTTAGCTAATGTTCAAAACGACTAGAAATATCAACGTTTTCTATGTTAACACGTGTAGCCAGTGATAGCAGGCCCGTAGCTGCGTCTGTAAAAACCGTGAGAATTAAGGGACGAAAAAACATACTGAACTTAACATTCTGACCTCAATTATTACATTTTTTAATCTATAACATCACGTAATCTCAACAAACTGTAAACGTATGGCCCAAACATTAACAAAGAACAGAGAACACTTTAACACAAGCTAACGTATTTACGACGTACCAGTTTTTCTCCGGAAGCGGAGAAATGGCAACTTCGGTGGACTTGTTTTTTGTATCTTTGATTTAAGAAACGCTCAAACTCAAAAAGTTAAACAGAATGATCTGCAAAATTGCGACTCCACAACTGCAAATGATAAGAAAGTATGGGCAGCAATTTGCGCCCCGGTAGCTTTAGCTTTAGCTGATGTCCCACAACAACGACGAGGGCAGTGTAACGTCACAGCACGGAAGGCACGTCAACGTAGTGATGCGTTTAAGGAAACCCCGTAACAAACAGTTACCGGGTGTGTGAATGGAATGAAATGAAATTACATGGATTTTTATTTTGGAAATCACGAATTTCTTAAAAATTTTACTTTTGATCAATTAAAATTTAAGATGAAATACAATAAAGCAAGATCAAATAAGATTTATCTAAATAAAATGTAAAATATAGCTTCAATACCAAAATGCATGGTTACAAATAGGATCATCTAAGCAAAATTATTAAGTATAATGTATTGTTTCAATTTGGGATTGAGAAATAAATAATTGTATTTTTCAAAAGCATCTTTATTGAAAGAGAAAAAATGTTTTATTAAGTGGGGTAACATTCTCATTTATTAGAGCTCATCAGCTGCATTAAATAGGCATCATTTCCATATATTAGAACTGCCGTACTATGAATAAACGACACTGCCTATGTTACCCTCTTTACTTTATTATTATTATTTAAGTATGACTTTAGTATTATAAATTCTGACAAGTGTTCTTCTTCTATTGGATGAGTCTTTGATCCTTTTAGGTTTTACCCTTTGGTAAAGACACCATCAAAGTAACAAAGGAAGACAACACCAACACAGTGAAGTTGAGAAGAACATAAGTATAATACATTGCAGGCACCGACCACTGAGAAACACCAGGGACAAGCAAACTAGAGAAGTTGGATTAACTTGAAACTCTAAAAGACTCTCAACCGAAAGCAGAATTGCAACAATTTTGGATGTTTTTAAACAACAACAGCGAGAGGCCAAAAGGAACAGAGGAAAACAGTGAAACTGGAATAATACAGTATTCTTTATAATCCACTTACATGGATACATGCGTTACAGAAACGCATATTTTTAACCCTTGTAGCCAACAAGACTTTCTGCTGTGTGTCTGTGCTCTGAGTCTTCTTCTTGTAATTTTGGATTGATTTTTATCCTTGTGTAAAAAGTCACAACAAGACTAGGACTTCTGACTGGGCATTTCTCATAATTCTGTTAGCACTTGAAGGCAGCACATTTCGCCATACGTGTGTGACGTTAGACTACATTTCCCAGAAGTCCATTTGGCTTTTTTTTTCTCCCCTCTTGACACAGATATTTCAGATAAAAACTTCCTGCCATAGCTCGACCGTTAGTGAGTCCTGGAGGAAGCCTACTGTCCAGGCTGCTGCACAGTTTGTCCTCGGCCTTTCGTTCCTCATCTACACTTTGTACTTATCTACGGTGAACGACGGAAAGCTACGCCATGTCAGACGGAGACAACAAAAGCTCGAACCTGCTTGTAAGCCTGGCTTTTTTTAAATTTAAATCAACCTGGCTAGCTTCAGCTGATGCTAGGTTGGTATCGTTGCTAACGCAGCTGTTAATTGTTTTTCTGCGGAGTGAGCTATAACCGATGGGAAAGCAACTTAAGCAACGTTTGACCTCCATTGATTTATCAATCTGTGCTGTTAAAATAATAGGCGATATAAACGGTACGGAGCCCTAGCTACGTAGTTAACTGATAGCTAAGTGGTTAGCATCCTATAATTTTCGGTAAACTTCCGTTTGGAGTGTTAACATGGACATCACGCCATGTATACTCGGTACATTTTTGCTTTTGTTGTTTGTAAGGTAAACATTTTTTTTTTTGGTTGTACAAATTTCATCTGTGAGGTGTGTTCGTTTTTGGAACAAAACTGCAGAGTCACGTCAGGAGCTTTACTTCTGCTAACGCCCCAAGTGACTGTGGTTCATTTCTGTATTAATGATAATTCTAAATTCTGAAATTCTGAGAGAAGCCAACATTTCATGTCATTCTATATTATTAAAATTGTGTCAGAACTAAGTGTGACATTGATAATTTGTCACACTATTCACGGGGCTTTTGTAAAACGTATTGATGCTCACTTAATGGTTAGGAATGACATCCATGGGTTGACCTGACCTTGTACTCAAACCATTGTTTACAACAGAACAGAATTATAACTGAAAACCCATCACTGGGTTCCTGGTTTTTGTGAAGTTAAAGGTGTCTGTGTGTGTGTGTTCTTTTGAAGGCTCAGGAGACTGCCCAGCTAGAGGAGCAGCTACAGGGCTGGGGCGAGGTGATCCTGGCTGGAGACCGCGTTCTGCGATGGGAGAAGCCCTGGTTTCCTGCAGTCCTGATGGCTGCTACCACTGTTCTCTTCCTGTGAGTCAACCTGAGTCGCTGCTTTGTCGCAGAGCTGTTGGACACAGCTGTTACATGGTTTTCATAGCACACATTTCTTCATTATCAGCACATGACCCAACTTTGTTCCATCATGGTTGACTGAACAACTTTACAATGACTTTATTGACACTATGCTTTATCGACCAGTGCTTTTTGTTGTTGTTGTTTTGTTTATCACCAACATCAAAGATTTAAAATACAATAGAAACATATTTTTAAGATTTTGGCAGACATTTTTGACTATGAAAAAGGAAAAAGCAATGAAAAAACGCAACTGTTGCTTTAGGCAGTTCAAAGTCCATCATGTTCAGCTCAGTGGAAATGGAAAAACACTCTTGGAGTCTGACAGAACTATGAACTTTGTGGTGATTGTTTTGGTCATGGGAGTATATTCAGGTTTTAAAAAATGGCTCTGTGCTCAGAGAGTTTTAAACTTTTTTTTTAGACACACCCTCTCTGTTTATCTACAGAGTTTAACTCCCTCTCTAAATGGCTCTTAAAGCCACAGCAGGCGAGGCAGTCAAACGTGTCTTAGTTTTGTATGCATATTGATAGTGAGAAACAAGCTTGTACATGAATTAATCATAACAGGTTTGTCATCTCCTCAGGCTGATTTATTACCTGGACCCATCAGTGCTGACGGGCCTCTCCTGCGCTGTCATGCTGCTGTGTCTCGCTGATTACCTGGTGCCAACACTGGCACCCAGAGTCTTTGGCTCCAACAAGTGGTGAGAGATGGCCTTTTCTTCCATTTCATTATAGTTTTATTGAAATCCTAACTCTGCAAACAGCACACCCAGATTAATTATCTGCTTTGTTATCTGTTGAGACACTAGTGTCTCTCTTGTTTTGTTTTTTTGTAAATAGAGTTACAGAATGGGAGCTTATCAAATTCAAAAAGGTGGTTTTATTTATTTTCATTTTAGGTCTGATTAGTCTAAACCTGACAAAATTCTACTTTTGTCCTGACAATTAATGAACTGTACAATATTACTCTGAGAGCTGAGTGATACCTCTGTCTATCCTGCTGCTAAAGCTGAGGACACACTCCAGAACCTGCCCGATTTAACCCATGATTCCAGTGATGGGTTAAATAATTATAACTTCAAATTATTATAACTATTCAAATAAATCCACTAACAATAGTATCATCCCTGCTAGGCTAATCTACAGTTCACTTAGGTTTCTTAAGTTTTATTCAAAAGAGTAACATCCCTGTTAAACATGTTGGGGTTTTTTTCCACCATGTGATAATGAGCAGTCAAGCTGACCTCAGGTCTTGTGTGCAGGACCACTGAACAGCAGCAGCGTTTCCATGAGATCTGCAGCAACCTGGTGAAGACACAGCGTCGCGTGGTGGGCTGGTGGAGGCGCTCCTGTGCTCTCAAGGAAGAGAAACCTAAGATGGTATGTTGTTGTGGGACCCTACCAAATGAATCAGTCTAGTAGCTGGACTTTAAAGACACTGTGGGTGTTTGGTTGGTTAGTCTTCTCAGGACTGAGGAGAGTTCCTTGAGTAACATCCTGGATTTTTTCCCCCTCTTTCTCTGACAGTATTTTGTCTCAATGATCAGTGGTTTGCTGGTAGTGGCTTGGATTGGGCAGCAGGTCCACAACCTGCTCCTAACCTACATAATTGGTGAGTGTGTTGATGCACCTGTAGTCACATCAAGTTTTATTACATACTTTCTGAGTGGACTTCAGTTCTAACATGGGTGGGGGGGGCATGTACCAGTGAAAAAGGAGAAATACACATTTATATATTTAGAGATGCTGTGGTGCAGAATGTGTTGGACAGTTATTGTTGTAAACCAAATTAGAGATGAAAACTTATTTCTCATGATTTCTCCACAGTGAGCTTCCTGTTGCTTCTCCCTGGTCTAAATCAACATGGCATCATCACCAAGTACACATCCATGGCAAAGAGGGAGATAAACAAACTGATGAAACACAAGGAGAAGAAAAATGAGTGAGTTGGACCAAAGTGTAGGTCACGAGAGCAAATAAGAGAACAACCACACCACCAAATGACAGGAGGAAGTTAGAAAAGAGAAGACAGTCCGTTTCCTGAGTCTGCTGTTTGTTTAGGGTTTTTTTTTTTCTGTACCGATGAACTTGACATTTTATCACATCTGTATTTTACTTTCTTCACGAGTCAGTTTTACCTGCAGCGTCCATCGAGAACCTCACATCCATCCTCTCTTCAGTAATATATTCATTCACCTGCAGCACTGATCACCGTCTCTGCACATATGGGCCTCAGCTGTCTTTTATTTTAATTTTATTTTTTGTCAGTGGTGGTTTGAAAGCCATCACAGAGTGACTACTGAGTAGTTTTTGTAGCACGTGACCTTCACAGAAGATAATTTTTCTCACTTTAGATCACATGATGCCACATTTGGACAGGGGTTGTGTTCTAACCTCACAATAAAAACAAACTGGATTTAAACACAGCTCTTAATGGGTTCAAAGTAGGGCTGCTGCTGGGCTCTGTTCTGTTCCTTTGTAAATATGTGTGTGTGCGTGCGCATGTATGTGTGTTATTTATGTTTTCAGTCTCATTTCTGCTCTGGTCACTGACCCTGTGCTCATAATGTTTTTCTTTACTGGAGATCTTTAAAACAGTGAATAAAGATTGATTTAAATGAACACCTGTTTATGTCTTTACTGACAGTTATGATTTATCAGCCGTTGTCCTTCATCGAACTAGACACGATACCGGTCCATTGTCGTGTTTGGGTAACTGGTCTGTCCAGGTTTGGTCTGAGGTAGGGCTCAAGAACTGATTACACTACTAAAACTTGTCTGATTCAGTGCAAGGGCGACTCATGCTTTTCATTATTAAGTGTACCTGCCTGGGGGAGGCAGAGCTTTTCACATGGGGACACCATATAAATGTACTTAAGATGTAAAGTAATCACTGGATTTGTTCAAGGTTCAGTGAGAAAGGGGATTGACTACCTCTGATAAAACAAGAAGTATGACAGATTAAAGTTTGTATTTTTATGGACTGATGTTAGGTTGTATTAATGTTTGTCACTGATATATAATGACAACAGCTAGATATGTATATTTGTTTATTACAGGACTGTAACAACTGACATCTTCCTCAGATATAACTTCATATATATATATAAGTATATATATGTGTGTGTGTGTATGTGAATTAATATTGAATTTCCCCGGTGTGACATGAATAAAGTCTAGGGCACATTTTGTCATGTGTTTATATGCCTGTATGTGTAGAATGACAATAAATGCGATTGTTCTTCTCTTTAGTTTCTGTGTGAACGGTTGTATAGTGGCAGAAAGATTTACTAAAATCCAAGCAGGACACCGCCTAAAATCTGGCCGGATCGATTAAGGTCAATCCTTTTGTATAGTGATTAACGTATTGTTTGATTTCATGACATTGTTTCTGTTTTGATGACTCCTTCCTGAAACTCGCATCATCCCAGAAAAATCTGACATCAAAGCCGTTATTCCATAGGCCACGATGACTGTGATCTCAGATGACGTAAGCCCGGGGCGGGGCTATAAAGCCTTGTTTTTCAGCTCGTCCTCAGAGACGGTCTCCATTTTCCAGCGAGCACAGGAACCAGGCAAGAACCCTATTGAAGACCAACGAATCGGCCTAAAGCCAGACAGCTTATACAGCAGTACAGCACGCAGTCAGCCGACCAAACAACTCTTTAGTCAAGTTATTTTCCGAAAGGAAAGCAAATCTTATCGTATGTCCGCTATCCAGAACCTCCAAACTTTTGGTAAGATTTTCTTAAAATCCAGGGTGGGGGAAGGGCGCCGATATTGCTAATAGGTTAGCATCCAATTGTCGTCGATGTTTTTGCCGTTCCATCGGCCGATGCTCATTATATCCGCCTTCTGTTTATCGAAGTCACTGTAATTCAGTAAATTATTGTTATTTTCGCATTAATGAATCGAGAATAACACGACTGGATCATAAACAAACGTGCGGCCTTAACTGGTCTTGTGACGTCCGCCATTTTAGGCCTCCGCAGCACTGTTGGCCAACTCGTCGCCATGTCGGGCCTTTAATAAAGTCATTTGAATCGGACCGTAGGTGTTTAAAATGATTTAAAATTAACAGGCTTTATTCGGTTTAGAGAAAATACGTTTAATCTTAAGTGATGAGTCACGTTAATGTGAATCTTGATTGAATCATTGTTTTTACTTATACGTCGGTATTGTCTTTATTCAATGGCTGAGTAAAACGAAATACAGTTAAGAACAGTTGTCTGTTGGGATAGTTCGGTTCAGACGACAGGCACAGTGTAATAAATACCACACATTAAGTCCAGAATTCAAATCCTGACCTTAGACATGGATGTGATTTGGTCCAATACTGCATTGTCTGTATAAGTGGTGAACATTTTGGTCTCTTCCTCCAGACCCCTTTGCTGATGCGAGTAAGGGTGATGCCGTGGACCACGTCCACATAAGAATCCAACAACGGAACGGCAGGAAGTCCCTCACTACTGTCCAGGGCATCTCGGACAAATATGACAAGAAGAAGCTAGTCAGGGCTTTTAAGAGGGTATGTTGGTTGAATATTGAGTTATTTTCTTTGTCCAATGTAATATTAAGTAAAAAATTAAAGAAAAAATTGTTTACAGGAATTTGCCTGTAATGGGACTGTGATTGAGCACCCAGAGTATGGTGAAGTGATCCAGCTACAGGGAGACCAGCGCAAGCAAATTTGCGATTTCCTGCACAGCGTGAGTGTCAACAGTTGACAAGTTACTGTTCTAATCTTAACCCTGTGTCATTTTCACTCATAGTTCTTTATTTTTATTTTTTTCAGCTTGGTATGGTCCAACCAGAACAGGTCAAGGTCCACGGCTTCTAGTAACTGCCCTTCTACTCAGGCATTTGGAAGGCCATTTACTCCCCCTTTCTATCCCTTCACCCCTCTCCCCAAACTCCCCACCTGTCCCCACCCCCACTGTTGGGCTTCCTCTTCCTCCTCCACGCAGCTCCTATTAGCCTCCACGTGAATTTACCTCTGACCAAAACCATGAGACTCTATAAAACCAACCTCCGACACCAGGGGGCTGGCTTACTCTCGCAAAGACATGCCACTGCAGCTCCACACAACATCAGGGATGAGTGGTGATGCCCCTCCCACACAACACCCCCTCCTTTTTTGTTAATTTTCTTTTAAATTTTTTTAGACCTTACTCATGCCATAATAAAGGCACAGTTGTTTCATGTAACTTTTGTTTTTGAACTTTGAGGTTTCAATAAAAATGAGTCTCCATACAGTGGGAGTGGAGTGCTGTGTGTGGGGGGAGGGGCAATTCTTGGTGTCTAGTCACAGCTGTGTAGATAACAAAAGCCAGGGATGGAAGCTGGTTACCATTTCCAAAATCCCACTAAGAACACCTGTGTGCTCAGATGGGCTGGGTTGTTGATTTTGTTTTGTTTTTCGGTGGAAGCAGACAAAGCTGCTAGGTCTCCCATCTGAGCAAGTCTCACAAATGGCTGCGATGGAGTGTCACCGTTATGTTTAAATTTGGGAGGAGGAGGAGTAAGGGCTTCGGGAATAAAGATGATTCTCAGAGTGTTTGTTAAACCTGTTGATGTGCTCTTAACTAATAAGTGGTTATTTCTGAAAAAATTAGTCTCAATATTAGGAATACAAGTACTGGTATCACATCTGCTCTAGGTACATGTAGTAAAACATCAGCATAGAAGGCAACTATGTCACAGGTAGCAGTCTAGTGTTAAATTATATCTGAGTGGGTTAGTAGTTGACAGTTTGAAGGATTTCTTGCTTTAAAAAGTTGAGTAAACCTTTAGATAATTTGTAGAAATCAAGATTTTAGAACCATGGTCAGGTCACTGCTCCTGTGAATGAGAGAAAATGTTCTGCAAATTCCACATTCAATAAAAGTCTGCAGTTGACTCCAGTGTAGTCTGTTTTCATTAAAACTCGTGCATCTGTTAGTGTTGATGTGTTATGTTAGCCACACCCTGTCCCACACACAATTTTCCACTGTCCCGGAACGCCAGACTGAGGAATGTTACATTCTACTGAACTGTCATTTTCCACCAGCACTCGCTTTCAGTCCTGTAGTCAATTTAAAGGGTTCGTTCAACCAAACCCTCAACGACTAATTTTGAGGATTGGAAAAAACCGCAGTATCCGGCAAATTTCCGGACAAGAACAAAGATTTTCTATAGGAAGCTACCAGACGACGTCACGGCGCACTCGCCCCATAGGAGCATTAGCTGTGTGTGCGAGAAAAAAAAACCAAAAAAAAAAAACCACACACTCAACGTGTGGAATTTCTCTATGAACTACAGATGTAATATGTATACGCATTTTTCTTTGGTTATTGTTAAGAGTCGGTTTAAACCCGGATAATTACACATGTGGAAAAGAAACCGTCTGAATTGTAGTGCCGATTATGAAAAATGGATGATGTGTTAATGTGTAGAGTAACCCAAAGAAACGCCCACCCCTGGGCTGTCATACCAATGACGTAAGGCTTTCGTCAGTGATTTATTTTGGCGATTTCTTGTGTCCTACCAAATGTCCCTCCTGTTTTGCCGTCCGTCTCCATGGTTTCTTAACAGTGAGCCACGGCTAAATAAAAAACAGTTGTAGCGGTAGAATAACTCTTTTAAAATATTTTTTAGTGTTTAAGTCTTTAAAGAAGACAACTCTATACTATATACTACTATAATTTTTAGTGTTTAAGTCTTTAAAGAAGAGGTGGCGGTGCAATGAGTCTGAGTTTAGTCTATGGATAGGCACTGTGTGACTGACGAAAGAAGCGCGGTAAGAGCGTAAATATTGTTAGCAGCGTTAGCATTGGCATTACGTTTTCGTGAAAGTTTACGGAAAATATTTAGTTTCTGCACACGCGTGAAGTCAGACGTATAGTAATAAAGAAATGTTATAATGTTAATTCAAAGCACAAATACAGCGAAGTCTGTTCACTTATATACACATATACATCACTTATTGAAATGAAACACAAACTAAAATGTGTAGTTTATAAATTCAAATAATTTTTTTATTGATGGTAACAAATCAGTTTTCAGGAAAAAAACAGTTACACTTTTATTAGTTTTTTTTAATGTTTTATTTTTTGTTCTTACAGAAATGTGACTCCTGCATGAGATAACAATGTCTTCCCAGGTGGAGACGACACCGGTAAGAAGCACAGTGGCCTCTTGGGTCTTTGTTTATATATAATAAATCTAACTACATTGACTTTGATTGGTGGAAATGTTCCAGTCATGGTCAGTGGACAACTCTGCTGTATTAGGTCATGGCATCATTGCATGTGTTTCTTTAGGTGCTGCAAATATGGGAGCTGGCCGTTCCTCTTCCGGCCGTGCTGATGATCACCGTCACCTTATACATGATGCTCCTGGGTCTTGGTCTGTGGATCAGATTCTGTCTGAAGGTTGGTGCTGGTGCTGCTGCTATCATGACATGGCTGTTAAGCCACTCTTCAATTTCCTCTACTGTCACAGTACTAGTAAATCTTACAGATCTAATAGTTGCTCCCCTTCCTCTTTTCAATTTCCTCTACTGTCACAGTATCATCTTCCAGATCTAATAGTTGCTCCCCTTCCTCTGTCTGAAGGACCGCTGTTCTGCCGACTGCAGCCACTGTGGTCCAGAAGTGTCCGTCTCTGAGCACTGCTTCAGACTAGCTGAGACCTGCGATTGTCGACCCCCCACCCTGCGATCATGCCTCGACCACTCCTGTCCTTCTCCTAGTGTGAGTATCAATCAGAGAAAACAAATCTAGAGGTCATACAGGTCAAACTCATCGTATAACAGTGAGGAGCTTTAAGAAGAACTGTAAATGTAAACTTTAAACTTTCTTTTAGTTTGAAGCTGAAAGCTGGTTTTCTGTCTCCTCTTTGGAGAATTTTATTTTTTATTTCTGGTACTTTTATTACCAGATAAATATACAAATTGCACAAAAGAACTTGAATAACAGTTTCGGGTAAAAATGTGGTGTGACCTTTGAACAATTTGCAACTTAAAATATTCACTTGAAAGAACTTGATTAGATTAAAGTAAAGGAGCATCACAGAGCAGATTAGATTCATCTCAGTACAATAAAATAATCCAACTCAAAGACAACCTCATCAGCAAATTATATTTACAGTCTGATTTGATTTAAAAGACAAAAAACTCCAAAGATGGTGAGACTTGACCAAGGTCATCACCAATGACAAGGTAGAACCCCGATCCACGTCCAGGTGGTTCAGAGGAACAGTCTGTAAAGAAGACTTAAGAGTAGAGAAGTTCCTGTCTGGTCCAAGGTGTTTCTGTCAAGGTCTCAAGTCTCGACCTCCACCACTGGAGAAGCACAGACTGAAGAAAGTGTCTCCCCTATCCTCAACAACCTCTGAACCTTAATGCTGATGTCACGTCACTGATGTCTGGAGTCCCCCCCCCCATACCTCCCTCCTCCCTGGCAGTGAGCTGCTGCAGTCTGGACACGTCGGGAAGAGAAACTGTTCTGATGTCTTCTTTTTTTCTTCTCCATCATCAGTGTGGGAAATGGGACTGTGCCTGCACCTGTCAGCCTCCGGAGTGTGAGTCCTGCAACTGCCTCTGCTTCGAGATCAGGATCAAGTAGATTGACCTGGAAACTCGTCCATCAGCTCCGCTCCAGAACGTTGCGGATGTAATCAGTGCAGAACAGACGAGCGGCAGAAAATGTCGCTGACCTTTGTTGTTGAGTTGTAATGGTTTTTATCAGTGTCACTGAGTGTAGTGTGTGAGTGCGTTGTTGTTTTTATTTTTATTTAATTTTTTTTTTACATAACTTCAAGATTTTATACTGTACAGATTCATTTTATAAACGTTGTGGATTCATGGTTCTTGGTCTCCTGCACTTGTGTTGGCCATCGTCTTCCCATTACAAACCAAAGGTGAAACATATGAGAAGACAGATAAATGCTGCGGAAATATTTTATTTTAGATTATTATTTTAATTAAACTGTGTTTTCGACTGAAACAACAGTTTTCTAGAACATGAAATGGTTTAAATACAAATATGTTAAACATGTATTCAGAGAGAAAAGATTCAAGTTTTGAAAGACAACGTAGACAGACTTAGAGCATCAGAACCTGTTCAGTGATCGGTTACAAACCAAACTCTGTATGAACTCTGGCACACTGAAGTTCATAGGAAAAATCAGTGATTTTAGCTCAAGGAGGAAGCATTTTATCCACTGCTTATCCCATAGTTCAAATGTGATTATTTAATCTTCATTGTTTGAATTTTTCTTTTTTCTTTCAGACGTACCTTGGTGACACAAACTGACCACAGGTGGCAGTAGTTTATCAGCATTTGTGAGCTAAAAACACTGATTTTCTTCATGGACTTTGGAGAGTGGGTATACATTTCCTAAAGAGACTGTAAAGTTGGACAAAGTTTCCTAAAGAGACTGTAAAGTTGGACAGTCTGTCTTAACAGTCTGGATAAAATATCTTTTTTTCCTAGAGTCAGTGTAGGTGAATTTCTTTTCAGCCAGTCTCTGTATTTCAAGACGGTTCTGGAAGCATACGCAGGCTCGTAGCTTAGTCAGTACTGACAGTGTTTGTACTTCATACAACCATTTTTAAAATCAAAGATTATTTCTCTACTTCACACCCGTATCATAACAAAATCAGGACATGTAACTGGAGGTTTCTAGAAGGAGAGGTGGAGACACAGTGAGAGGAAGAGGAGATGGAAGAAGAGGAGGAAAGAAGAGGACTGGGTGAGAGTGCCACTGTCTGTGGTGACCTGATCGGGTCCAGGAGTGACGCCGTCTCCTATGTTGATGGTTGGTGGAGACAATATTTGACCCAGTGTACTGGACAAAAAGTTGGAAAATGCAGTGATCGAAACAAAGGTCTTCTTCCCTGCTCGTGTTTGTGTTGTGGTGTTGGTTTCGGGCATTAAGACTGCTGCCTGGAACCAGAAGCTGCGCTGCTTACACATCAGTGGACCCCCTGCATCACCCTAGACAAACAGGAGAAGAGGCGATGTTCAGAGTCAGAATGTTTCCGAGGTGAAGCCTGGTGCTAACACCAACTGTCAAAGACCAGGCTGCAAGGATTACTGTGAAGCTGTTGGACCTTTACAAAACCAGAACCTTAAAAACCCGAGGTTGGCTAAGAGAGAGCTGCTGTCACAGCATCTCATTGACAAAGAAGCAAATGAGGTCACCAACAACAACCAAACCATCGACCCCACTCCAGTACTGTGAGGGTCTGTACACACAGCAGGTTTTTTGACCACTAAAACACTGGGGATCACAAACTTTGTGAACTTTGACAAGTGTGTCCGATGAGGGACAGACACACTGGTCAAAGACGACATCGCAGTCTGTGCTCCAGCTTCAGTTGTCTCTGTTCTTTTATTCTCTCTACTTCCTGTTGACTTTTGACTTTTGACCTTCCCGTGATTTACCTTCTCCAAAGTGAAATCTTCAGTACAGATGTTGTCAGTCGTTGAGGTGTCTCCACATTCCACCACCTTTGTCTGAAGCTCCTGCAGAACTTGTTCTTCTGAGGATACAAAATATGGATCCAGTGTCACTTGGATTAAAGTCAAGATCTTAATATTTTAACTTTAAACTAAGAATTCACTCAGAACTGAAGAGAACTCAGATGGACTCACCGCCTCCTTGCCCAAAGCTCCAGCCAGCAACATAGCAGGTGGTACCAACACCGAAGATCTGTGTGGTTCCCAGGCAGATGGGCTGGATGTAGTCCGACAGGGTGGGTCGGGTTTGCAGATGCAGTACTGCCACATTAGAACCCGTCTCATTACTCATGGTGATGTTGGTTACATTGAACTTCATCTCAAAGGGATTGGATCCATTCTGCTTCAGGCGCCCGAGGATGACGGTCCACTCAGAGGCGCCACGACCAGAGCGCTCATTTGACCTGTAGCGGTGATAGGGAACACAATCGACCAAGATCAACAAAACAGGGGAAGCAGGAAAGGTCTGCCTGTTGAGAGTGACGACTATGACAGACGATGTACATGAACACAGTGAACCCAGTTCATGTGACGATGTCACATGACCCCACCGTCTCACCCTGAGAAGCAGTTAGCATCGCTCAGCACGGAGTCCTCATCCACCAGTGTCCCACCACACACGTGGGTTCCATTCATCTGCAAACTTGCCATCCAAGGCCACATGCCAGCTGACGTCACCGAAGCCCCGCCCACAAGCCGAGTATTCATAGGTGCCTGGCCGCAGACAACAGCTGCAGAGACGGACGACGTAATGAAGCGGTCATGAATATATCAACATGTCAGTTCTCCCGTCCTTTGGTCAGACACTTACGTCCAGCTGTTGTTTTGGGGGGAGTGATTTTAGGGGGTGGATTTGTGATCGGTGGAATTCCATCACAGGTGTGGTTGAGATCTCCATCTTTCCCGGTGGAGCTGAAGGTGAGAAAACCTGGCCGGTCGCCGCTGGTGTAAGTGTCAATCCAGGACTGGTACCTGGACACTCTGGTGTAGACTCCAGGGAACAGGGGTTTACCACATTCACTTCCATAGCTGGCGACCCCTGCAAGGATCCACCGGCCGCTCTGCTTGCTCATGAGTGGACCGCCCAGGTCGCCCTGTGTGGAAGGAGATCAGTCAGGAAAGGCTGAACACTGACAGGAAGTTAAACCTGAGCTGAGAGTGACGGAAAATGTGATCACCTCACAGGTGTCCTTCCCTCCAGCAGGAAGTCCAGCGCACATCATGTTGTCCGTGATGGTGCCCACTCCGTAGTAGCAGTTACACTGCCGGTTCCCCAGGATGGGCACTTCCACCTCCCTCAGGGCGTGTGGAGGGGGAGGTAATTCTAAAAGCACAGGTTCACTTTTATTCACCAACACATTCAGCTCTAAAGTCACAGACTCTAGTTTGTCATCTGTTACCACCTTGACGTCCTATGAGACCAAAGCCGGTGGCCCAGGCCTCGGTGGCGTTGTTGAAGGTGCTGTCAGAGTCGGCCAAACAAATGGGCCGGATGTAATCTGTGTAATTCAGCGGTGGGGAGAACCTCAGGAGGGCAATGTCATTGTCACTTGTACGTAAAACGTAGTCGGGATGGATGACGATCTCCTCCACAAAGCGATACGTCTCCTTGGCTGTCATGATGCTTAAACTCTGCATTCCGAAAAACAGCACCAGCCATCGCGTATCGTTGCTGAAAACAGTAGAGAAACAAGAGAAATGTTGAAAAAACAGAGCTGAGCTGGAGGACCAACATCTGACCAACAGGGGGTCACACCCCACTTACACATATTCACTTTGTTTACAGATATTCCATGTCTTTATCCTAACAGAGCTGGAATTAGATTTTCTTATCTTTGTCTTAGATAAGTCTGGAATTAGATTTTCTTATCTTTGTCTACCAAAGATGGACATTTTAATAGTTTCAGAAGTTTCAGAAGTTATATCTTTTGCTACTCTACATATATACTGTATATATAGCATTTGGTTTTTGTTGGTGAATGTTTTCCTTTATTTTGACCTTTGACCAGTTTTCCAACTCTTTGCTACTTCCTATTTTAATGTGACTTTTCTCTCGTTATATTCATCATCTTTAACCATTTTTTAACTTCTGTTATATATATATATAAAATGTTTTGGTGTGTAACTCACTGGCGTACACAGTGGGCTGCCGTCAGCACCCACTCCTGGTTGATGAGGGTGGCGCCGCAGAGAAAACTGGGCCAATAGAACAGACCCACCTGCCAAGGCCAGTTCCCCCCAGGAGCCTCCTGACCGCCAACTATCCTGGAGTTGAGTGGAGCCTGGCCACAAACTGAAGACAAAGAAACACCGCCCCGTTTTACCAGATGTTCTTTGATGGTACGCGACCATCAACAACCACGACGGTGGTTGGTAATCATTGCTGTTCTCTGTCTCGTCTTCTTTAGGTTGTTCTCAGCAGACTCCAGCCTGGTCTTCAGCAGAAGTCGGACATCGTCCTGGTCTTTCTGGATCTCTAATATTTTTACTTTTGTCTTTGCAGTTATTCTAGGTGAGTTTTCTTTTTTCGATCTCCAAAATTGATTGGAGATTGAGGGTCACTAGATTGAGATATGGCCGTAAACAGATTGCTGAGATATCGTAGCCTAAAACAGTGGTATATTTTATTCGACTTTTTTTGTTCTGTGTGTGTATGCTACGAAAAATGCAACCTCATAGAAACTACAAAACAATCACATACATAAAGCGTAATACTGCCATCACAACAGCCTCAAAGCTCTTACTTTCATTCGCAGGAGTTGGAGCAAGCGTTGGCGGAGGAATATGGTTGGCGCAGAAGAAGTCTGCGTCGTCGTCTGTTCCACTGGAGTTGTAGTTGACGAAGCCAGGCCCATTGTCTGTGATGTGACCGCTGATCCAGGTCATATACTTTGAAACTCGTATATAGACGGAAGGAAAATCCGTCTCACCGCACCCGAGACTGAAAATTGCAATTCCAGCCTGGATCCAGACCCCGTGCTGCTTGAACACCAGAGGAGTGCCAATGTCCCCCTGGACACAGAGAGGAAACCTTCAGGATTGACCAACGTTTGTTCAGTTTCTGATGACAAAGTGACACAACGTATGAGACACAAATTGACAGAAGACATTACATGACAGAGGCCTTTCCTGTCCACCCGTGACCCGGCACACATCATCGTGTCTTTGATAAAGCCCTTGCCATACGCACAGTCGCACTCTTTGTTCCCCACCACTGGGATGTTCACCTCCGTCAGGTTCTGAGGTGGAGGAAGAGGCTCTGAAGAACAAACACAGTTTCATTTGGATTTTAGGAAAAAAGAAAAAACCTAAACATATCAAGTCTTAAACACATGTAACTCCCACCTCCTAAAGCTACGTTGCCCCAGCCGGTCAGCCAGCCCATGGTGCCGTTGTAGAACGTGCTGTTAGAGTCGGCCAGACAGATGGGCCGGATGTAGTTGGTGAAGTTGACCGGGGACGAGAGCTTCAGGAGGGAGATGTCGTTGTTTCCGTTGTACGAGTTGTAGCTTGGATGGCTGATGATGTGCACGATGGTTCGATTCACCTCATGAGAACTGGAACTCTGTTTCATCTGACGACCGAGGTACACCACCAGACCCTCGGTACCGGAACTGTTTCAACGAGGTGAGAAAAAAAAAAAAATATGTAAAGATAAGTCTCCAGGACGTTTACACGATCATGTGTTTTGTCAGTAGTTCAGAGCCAGTGGAGGTCAGAGTTCTTCAAGAGGAGTTCTGGTCATGACCACTCACCCCAGCGTTCTGGACTTGACCTGCTGTGACCTCTGACCTGAACCTGGTAAGTCCAGATTATTTTGAACCACTGTGAAATTTTTGGCCTCACCTTAAACAGCTAGTGGCCGTCAGAACCCATTCCTTGTTGATGAGTGATCCACCACAGAGGTGATATCCAAATCTCTGCAGACTGACCTGCCATGGCCAGCTGCCTGGGCTGGCGCTCTCGCCTCCCACTATCCTAGTGTTGAGCGGTGGTCGGCCGCACACTGGTAGAAAATAAATAAAACAGGGAAGAAGTAGAGTATGAGGTGAAGGAACACTGCAGCAGGAGGACTCCTCTGCTTTTCCCTCTTTTTCTAAAGTGACAAAACATCGAATAAAAAAAGGCTCCAACTTCAGCGGACAACAATGTAGCAGCGACAAAAATCCAACAAGGACCTTTATTAAAATCCTGCAGATGACGTTTATGTGGGTTAAAATAAGTACGATAAAAACCTACGAAAAAAACTCTCTAGATTTGAATTTTGTTTTTTACGCCCATGAAAAAAAAAACAACGTTAGTTAGTTCTTTGTCTTATAACAAAAATGTCAGTGGTTCAATTCCCAGCTTGAATTGCTGTCTTTAAAAATGTGTTTTAAAACGACCAAAATGTTGCTGTTAAATAAGAGAAATGTTGACTCACCATCCAGCTGTGAGCGAGACTCTGCAAAAAGACACAAGAAAACGCAGCTGTTATTTCTCCGCTGTGCAGTAACGCGAGGAACATCACGGCACCGTTTGACCAATACTGTGTCAAACGCTCAGTGCCACCCAAACCAAACCTCACAGAGAAAATCAGTCATTTTATGAATCCGTTCCATAAACTTCTTAACATTATGTACATGCCCCGATCACTGAGGCCAAAATAGATAACGGAGTAATAAAAACTCACCCGTCACTTTGTTTAACATCTAATGATTTTTTTTTCTTTGACTATATTTTATTTTTAATTTATTAACGATTTCTTCTTGATTTTTTTTACTATATTTTATTTTTAGTTTATTAACGATTTCTTCATTGATTTTTCTTCAGTGTTGGTCAGTTGACTTTAAATTCAATTCTGGACATCATTTAATTACATTGCTATTAATTAATGAGTCTAAATGTGCAGCCGTGCAAATAATAACCCCAGTGCAGAGTGGGAAATGTCTGACTGTGCTATGAAGAGCAACCTTTTTGAATAAAAAGCATGGAAAAGTCTTTTCCTGCAACAGATGCAGATGAACCACCTGACAGGAGGACCAGGCAAAACTAAACTAAACTAAACTAAACCAAACTAAACTAAACCAAACTAAACTAAACCAAACTAAACTAAACCAAACTAAACTAAACCAAACTAAACTAAACCAAACTAAACTAAACTAAACTAAAACTAAACTAAACCTCCTCTCTTCCTCTTCTTACCTTGTATCAGGAGGCTCAGCAGCAGACACAGAAAAACAGCGATGGATCTGCAGGGAGTCATCGTTCAAAGGCCACGTGTGTGTGTGTGTGTCTGTGTGTGTGTGTGTCCAGAGGTTCATCCGAGCCTTAAATCTACTCTCAATCTCACACCTCTTTTTTTCACGTCACTGCCAGAAATGTTGCTGGTCCAGAAGCACGCCCAGAAAAAAAAGTACCTGTCATTAAATTCCTCTGATTTCGTGGATTGTTTCCTCCAGTCACACCTGCAGGTGTCCTCGTGGTATAATCGTCCTCCGGTGAACCCCAACCTTCAGTCTTCAACCAGTGGGGGGTCAGCTGTCCAGCTGAAGGTCCAAGCTGTCGTGGATCCCTGTTAGTCCTGGACCGTGTTTGGGTCTTTTTTGCGTCAGTCCTGTTGAGTTCATTTGGTCATGTTCATGTTTCTGACATACAGAAGGTCCTGGGTTCAAATCTGCTTAGTCCCAAACCCCGTCCCTTGTCTACAGGCGTGTGAATCACTATGTGATTGTGCCCCCTGATGCAGGGACAAAATGGACACGATTCAGATGTGATTTTCCTAATGGAATTCAGTCGTTTTCGATGTGACACCTTTTCTTGCAGTGGTGATGTCTCCGCTGACGGCAGTGAAACTCTTTCTTTGCACCAATAGGAAGGAAATGAACTACTTGTCATTGTGAAAAGTGACTTTAAGCAGTGTGTGACTCAAACCTGAAACTTTCACCCGTAACCACTAAGCCACCACTGTGCAAATGTGCATCTACATGACTAGTTTGTTTAGAATCAGCTGTTTGTCACCGTCACATGGTCCGATCAGCCTGGTCCAATCAGCCTGGTCCGATCAGCCTGGTCCGATCAGCCTGGTCATCCCTGGTTTCATAATGTTGATGCTCTTATCTGTAAAATAACTGGTTACTTTTGGATGACCTGAAAAAAAAAAACAGGTTTCTTCAGAATATATATGATATCTGAGAACAAGGAAGTCCTGATGAGGAAATGGACGGCTTTTTATTGTCATTGTTGAAGGGCTCACTCCCTGTTTTTGTTTTTTTTCTCAAAGTCTCTCTCAAAGACTGCAATAGTTTTGCAATGCTGACCACGGGCACGAGTTTTGGCAGTGGCTCCGGGAAACCAGAACTTTCATCAATCAGATCCTGTTTTTTTTCACATAGACGTGGGTCAGTGAGAGCAGAACAGTCTTCTAAACCTGGTAATAATGTCACGGCGTCCTCAGACGGCCCTGTCTCTGCTCCTCTGTGACCTGAACTCACTGTCACGTTTTGAAGATATTTGAAAAGTTTCAGTGTATCCTCGGCCTGGTCAGGAACTCGCTCATGACCAGGTCACCTCAGACCTGATCCTTCACACTGACAAGAACGGACGTGAGATGGTCCACACGGAGGGACACCTCCCTCCACTCACGCATGTCCTGATGTCGTTCCTGGCACTGACCGGAAATACATTGATGACGGTTTCATGGCTCCTGTGATGTTGGTGGAGACTCGTGGGTTGACCTGTGTGGCCCGGCGATCGACCTGGGTTTCATCGCCAACGTGACACAATTCTACAGCAAACTACTGTATTTTAATGCTAACAAAGTTAGCTGACATGTCAACGCTGTATCCTCCCACTAATCACAGCAACATCATTATAACTATCAAACATTTTCCTCCTGCTTGAACTAAATAGCTGACTTAATTAGTAAACGTAGCTCTCAGCCGCCCGCGGTGATTTCTAGGTTTTAATTTCTTTTGAAAAAACAAACACAATCACAATGGAATCTTTTTCTAGGGGAAAAAAAAAAAAAACCCTTCTCGTTCAGTAGAAAGTACCTGATGGTTTCGGTCATTCATGGTCTAATTACATATCTGGAATGTAGATGTGCCGGTGATTTTTTTTTTTTTTGGTGAACCCCATGTGGGAACAGGAAATGAGTTGAAATAAAAAGCAAAGCAGGTTGAACAGCAGCCACGTGAGGTTATGAAAGTTTAGATCAAATCTCTCCAGTACACTGTGTTCTAGACAATCAACTGTTCTCAGCACTCACACATTTCTAACTGCAAATATCTCCCAGGTAGAAGGAAGCCTGGCAACACCGACGTCAACCACTGATCAAATCGTAGATTTCACATCCCTCAACGTCTGGGACTTTAACTACACCTGGTCACTTGGTCTCATTTGACGTGTTATCGCTGCATTTATTAAAAACCCAAACAACCAGACTGTGAACAGGATCAGACCCAGACCCGGGTCAGAAGAACAGAAGGTCATACGAAGGTCACTGTTACTTTATTCGAAAATATAAAAATATCACTGATCAGTTATCAGTCAAATACTGGCCACAAGGGGGCTGTTCGTTGGTGATGGGTTTTGAACGTGACTCCAACAGAGGTTGGGACAGTGGTGGCTGAGTGGTTAACGACGCGGACTTAGGTCCGGAAGGTTTCAGGTCTCACTGTTCACTTTGGTGATGGGTTAAAAACCGAGGTCACGTTTGGTTGTGTGCAGAACTTTCCACTTCCTTTCCTTCCTGGTACTAACGTGAAACAATAAGACCACAGGGTTGGTCTGTGTGACAGTGGAGTCCAGCTGTTGTTCATCACAGACCGACCACAGACCTCCTGTCTGTCACTGACTCAAGCCCAGATAATCACTGGCTTTTGTTTGTACATCCCTACTTCTTACTTGGTGTCAGATTTCCACGTGACCTTGTGATTGACTTCTGTCCATGGTGTAACCACTGACTCCAGCATGGAAGACCATTGAATGAAAGGTTTCCGGTCATTTCTCATTGTGTGTGTGTGTGTGTGTGGGTCATTTCTCAGTGTGTGTGTGTGTGTGTGTGTGTGTGTGTGTGTGTGTGGGGGGGGGTGATTTAAAGTACGACCGCTCTTTGCTGTTGCTGACGCACACTTTTCTGTTCAAGCCTTTCCCTGTAGTTGCAGTGTGACGTCATCACCTGCCTCTGAGTCCAGATATTAGCCGCTAACCAACGCCACCTTTAATCAACACAATCCAAACATCTTGAGTTTGTTTTATTGTTGTACAGCATGACATCACGTCGACGTGTGACGGAAATGTAAAGAAACAAACAAAGATCAAACCAAACAAAACAAAATGTATTTTTTTAATCTGGAAAAAAATCATCAACAAAAGTGTTGTTTTTTTAAACAACACTCTTTTTGTAAAAGAAGAAATGTTCTATCAAATAAGAAACACCCTTCTTTACCCCGACATTTGTAAAAAAAAAAAAAATCTCATATTGCACTTATTTTAAAAGAATAGTTCACGATTTAAAGTTCAAGTACAATTGTAAGAGATACAAACACCTCCTGAACATGGCTGCCAACGTAGACCACCACAGAAGAAGAATGATTTGAGCCACCTAGCCCAGGACTGGGCTAACACAACATTGGTCAGAATAGTTGCGTGCTATGTTTAAGAGAATTCAAATATCAGCGATTTGTAGCCCACAGGGAAAGGAGCCACTGGTCCACTGCTGCCTCATGTGGTTAAATTCTGTCACTGAGAAAAAAGCTAAGCATTGTCCGAGCTGAAGCTCAGTTACATCCAGACAAAGTTTGATCATTTAATCTGCTATGGATCAATAAAATAAATGTATTATATTATTTATTTAATTATTATTTTGATAACTTTGCTAACCTTCAATTGATGCCAATGAGGTCATTTCAGTTCAATTCGCTCCTGGGAGCTAACGCTAAGCTAAGATAAAAATGTGACCATCAGATGAAGTTATCCTAGAATTAATCCAACATCAGTTTTATTAATTCAGTCTTTGGTTTAGTGACAAAAATCATTTTTTTCCCCCTGTGAGTGGGTTTGGCAGCGACAGAAAAACACAAAGAAACAATGCTATGCTACATGTTTACAGTACTGATCATTACTGTTGGAGATCCAGGGGCAGGGGCAGTTAGGAGGGGCCTGAGGAGGCAGAGCTTACATTGACTTCCAGCAGGTGGCGTTTCTTAGTGCCATTCAGTCAAAGAGGGAACATGATGGCATGATGTAGATGTACTTTTTTATTTTGCCAGCTTAGGAATAACTTTTGCTATGTTGAGGCTCAGACTACAGGTTTCTGACTCTGAGATTCTGACTTTTAGTGAAAAAATGTTTCGACAGAAATAGTAAGTGCTAAAAGTTTTTTTTTTTAAATGGCAGCTTTAAGTGTTGGTTTACATTCATACGCGTCGTCCACATCATGTAAATCTTTCCTTCCAAAAACGCCGGCGTTCCTTCTATGATAAGATTCGGAGACACAGTGACAGAAAGACACCGTGGACCATGAGGCAGATGTAGGAGTGAGCCACAGCGCCACCCTTGTTGGTGGTGGTCAATGTGGGTGTGGGTGTGGGTGTGTTGGTATTCAGTTGTGGGGACAACAGTGTCCCCAACGTCTTGGACAGGAAGTTTTTGTATTTGTCCATTTTGTCGAAGACCTTGACCTGCGCTCGTGCTCTGGTCGTGGCGTTGGTTTCCAGCGTCAACACCGCCGCCTGGAACCAGGAGCCGCCCTGCTGGCACATCAGTGGACCTCCAGAATCACCCTGGACAAACAGGAGCAGAGGACACGTTCAGAGACCCGTGTTCAACAAAATGGAGGGCATAAAACCTGAGACATGTCCTCCACCTGAGGCGGAGGCTGCCAGCGAGAAGAACAAAATCCAAACCCTCAGCTCATGCAATCCACGTCCACTAATGTCTGTCAGTTTCCTGTTTGGTAATGACCGTTAGCTGTTAGCTTCTTCATGAGCTGGGTGAGGACGTATAAATATACATTTACCAGCTCCAGTTGAAAATCTCCAGTACAAATGCTGTCTGATGTGGAAACGTTCCCGCAGTCCACCACCGACGTCTGGAACTCCTGCAGAACTTGTTCATCTGAAGTCAGACAAAGGTGAGCCTGTGAGTCTGGATCTACAAACAACTGAGACGACAGGTTCTGAGGACCCACCTCCTCCACGCCCGGGGCTCCAGCCAGCGCTCCAGCAGGCAGAGCCCACGTCGAAGGTCCGCCCAGATCCCACACAGATGGGCTGGATGTAGTCAGACAGGGTGGGCGTGGCTCCCAGGTGCAGAACCGCCACGTTGGACCCGGACAGGTTGCTCAGGCTGATGTTGCTCACAGTCAGTTTCTCCTCAAAA